TAAAGATTTATAATATCGGCTTCAAACATAAATCTCATAGAAATGTTTGGAATAATTGAGGGGAAACATTACTATTATTTAACTAATTTAAGGTTACTAAACATAAATGCTTTCTTCTGTTCTTGAATACCTAGCAAAGTCCTTTGAATTTGGTCATGCAGGGTACCCAAACATACAATTTAAACTAGTAACTAGAATCATTATTTAACTAAACAAGTAGTTCAATAATTAAGAGTAAAAACTAATCTCACTTCTAACAGAGTTTCCCCCAACAGTAACAAAAGTAAAGCCCATAGAGTTTTCCCAATGCAAACAAAAAGCAAAGCCTATAAGATTTTCCCAAAGCAAAATAGGAGAAACAACAGTATGATTCAGCTATGCATTGTATAATAATGAAAAAATGTTTAAACGCTTGTTGTGATCCGGTGGGGGTGCAATGTCTTCAAAGTACTCCTACAAATTACGCTTAGAGTTTGCACATGATGCTTAAAACCATGGGATTGTTGCTTTCCTGAGTTGGGTATGATGGGTCTAGAAGTTGCTCTCAGATCCGAATGATTTCTAAAACTCTGACCCTTAAGAGAGAGAGAAAGAAAGGGAGAGAGTATTGACATATTGGGAGATAGTTCTGCTCAGATTTGCTACTGGCTCCTAGAGATCAAATTGATGTGTAATCAAAACTGTGATGATCTCTGACAGACGTTTGAAATTAGACTACATAGACATAAATTAAGAATCTTAAAGACTAATTAAATATAATTAAAAAATTGAGGACCAAATAAACCTTAAAGACATACTTTGTAGATTCAAAGTGTATTTTACCCCCAAAAGGTCTCAACAAAAATAACGGATTTGTCCTATTGCGCGTGTAAACAATTTTGGCGACCAGTGCAACATGATCGTGGCGCAGGATTATTCTCTCTACCCCACTACTTTTGTCTGCCCTAACCAAAATCAGAACCGACCCTTTTGTACCTTATATTCATAATCAAACAAAAGATTAAAAGCAAAAGTTTGGGCTGAGCTAGAAATGTAGTCTGGACCTTATTATGTTTTGCTAAAATCATGACCCTCCACCTGTTTTCCCTCTGATTGTATTAGATTTAGAGTATCATGTCACTATCGGATCACCTATGTTCCCTCTGAGTATTATGTTACTATCAATAAAATTCAGTTTATTTATCCGAAAAAAAAAAAAATACATCAACACTACTCCCATTATTCTATATTCTCTGATGATGATTGATTTAAGTCTGAGCAGCCCACTTAGAGTCCAAAACATCCAGCGGGGTCATTAAAGAAAAACTCAAAAGACCCATCTACTTAGTGTCTGACACATCATGGGACTGGGCCACAACCAGAGCCGTGGAAGCCTTGAATCATCCAACTCGGGATATAGACCAAACCAGCCCCAACAAGCTCAATGGTAGATACCTGCTCGGGAATCACGAGCTCAACACAAGACGGACCTCAAGTAACATAATACTTAAGTGACACATTGTCCTACAACTTAAGCTTTTTGAGCTTTTTGAGTGGGTGTTCGTATAACAATTTTGACCAAGTAACACTATTTTTTTTTTATCAAAACAAGAAATAACCATTTCAATTAAGTAGGGAAGTTTAGATTACAATCAGTCAAAATAAGAGCCTTAAGCTCTGGAGGGGGAGAACCAACTCAGCCCAGTGGGAGCAAGTTGTTCATAGATGAGGATAAAGTTGTCCAAAGGGCCCTTAACTGTAAATTTTAATACCGAAATCGGGACCTTAATCTTGTCTTAGATTCATTCCAATGTGTACTTGTATAAGCACGTAGATTGCATCAAGTTTCCAAATAAACAAGTTAAAATGTCGGGGCACTTGTGCCTGGCCTTGGGTACCATGCTGATTGCTAAGAGAAATGCATAGCATTTACATGAGAACTGTCCCATGGCTCTGTGGATGCAGCTCCCTTCGCCAGTTGAGGCTGACGTTCCTGGCCCGCCCCTGTTTTCCGATTGTCACTAAACTATTCCAAGGGAGATGGAGCGTCTCAATAATGCCACCTATCAACCAAGCACCCACATGCTAATCATAACTATTAATAGGAAAACACTAAAATGCCGAGTTCTGTACTTACGATTCAAAGAGTACTAGATCGATCTCAACCTTTTAGAATTGTTCATAAACGACACACCCGTTGAATCATAATTTGGCTTGTCTGAACCATAACTAGACTCGATTAGATAGGAAAAATGCCTAAAAATCTAGTACTCTTTGGTCTTTGATAAAAAAATTAGAAAAAAATTCTATCGGATTAAACAAAATCAGTAAAAAACTCCCTTGATGGTCATACAAATTATTAACTGATTTAGAATAATAATCGGGGGAAATCAAAAAGGCATGTCATTGGATCATCAAATTTGCTCAAGAAAAGCCAAACGGATAGCAATTTTTATTAGTAAAAAATGAAACGTCAATCACAATACTAAAGATACTAATAATGTTAATGCTAATCAAACCTAAAAGTAAAACTCCATCCCTACCTACACAAACGTACAAGGGTCTTCCATCTTTAAATATGTGGAGTGGAAAAGAGACAAGGAGGTGAATTGATATGGGTTACATCAAACAAGCTCTTGAAATGGAAGTGAGGTGTACAAAAGTGAAAATCTTCCATAGCGAACACTAAGAATGCTAAGACAATTGACCGAGATCACATAGATAAAGCATACAAGTTAATACTTTCGATCATGATATAGAACACATCAATGTGAAATTTGCGTGCATGCACACTGAGAGCAGCTGACCAGAAACCCGACTAACAAACAACTTTGTTTTGATTACACACATGTTCGACAAAAATACACTTCACATACCAATATTCCTGTCTGGGAGCAGGAATTCATCACACACTGATCACTTAAAGTTGCAGACATACATATGAGTTTTAGATTCGACAGAACGAAGAAAGACGTGAATCACAAGGAAAAGAAAACACGATAACTAAAAGGAAAATGTCTACCCCATGATGTGCTGTCCAGTGCCAACATCTGACCAATTCCTCAACCTTCAGCAGGAACCTAGGGAATGAGCTTTGTAATCCTTCTCCCAATTCTTCCCATTCATGTGCAGCTGGATGGATACCAATAATCATGTCTAAACTATAACCTAGATAAAAACTTCCGACATTTCTCCACCACCCTTGGAGCTGCACGCAAAAGCAAAAGACAAGCCTCTGAAATGTCAAATGCCAAATGCCATTATATTGACAGTTAACTAACCAAATTGATTTTAAGGAAAGATAACTCAACAATGGGAACCTAAATATGCACATATCAAGAGTAAGTGGTAAAATGGAAACAAAATCTGCAAAAAAGGTTATGTTTTCTGTTCTGATAATCTGTGAGGACCCGATGTACTAATATGTAGATACTCACCAAGACCAATGGCATCAGAACCCTTCATGATCCTCAGTCTCCTGCATGTGCCAATAAACATCCTACCACGTGTGTAAACAGTAATCAGATTGCATGTACACTACGCAACTTATTAAAGAACACTCAGGACAGCATTAATTTGTCAAATTTCATAGTTTCTAGCAACGTTGATGCAATTTTTAGTTCATTAAGATATAAATATAAGCAGCAGCAATGTTTTACTTCATCACCAAGGTTTTATTTGTTTCAGCAGAAGTAAACAATGATGAAAGTAATGCGTTCAAGGTGATAGATGACGAAACTGAGACAACAAAGGCAATCAGTAATAGAGTAATATTACTATAGAAAGATCTCAGAATGAAAATTTTAAACCAGGATATTGCCAGAAAACCAATCCAAAAAAGGGTAAGCACATGTCATCATATGGGGAGGTGGAGACTGTTATGAATGGCATAATACAAATATATTCCTGTAAGAATAACAGTAACATTGAACCTCCAACCATAAGTAAATCCCTCCCAATAAGCAATTGGCAATTCAGACAACTGTCGGCGTGCCCTGTCTAGCATCTTTTAGATCACTCCAAAATATGTGTAGATGTACTTAAAATTCTGCATAAAACCACAATTATTTTCCCTTTCCATGAATGTACTTATAAGATTACCATAATGTTCATCAATGCCTTACATTCTGCACCTACACCTTGACTATAGACATACATACATTTACACTTTACAGTATGGCAAAATGGCACATATAAAACGGAGGTAAACTAAAAAAATGCCACTATTTTGTCCTTGCTCCTGGATGTGGATCCTGGAAAATTGATGCCGATTGAAGAAATGAATATTTAGTGCGCTAGTAAACAACCTGACTTAGAAAGGGCTTTAAGTGTCTCTCCATGGCCGGCAGCTTAGCTCATTTGGCACCTCAAAATAAATAAGTATATCCTTCTTAAGAAACTGTTAGGTTTTACCTGACACCAACCATCGAAGACCGATTAGTAAATGCACTTAAAAGATATGATCCAGTTGTTCTCTCTCATTTTTCAGATTACCAGTTTGCAATTGTACTCTTTGCCATCAGACAGCTGTAGAATCACAACAAAATATAGTGGTTGTGCCATCTCCATGACACAGTCTATTCTTGTCGCACATAAAATCTCAAATTCCTTCCTTATACTATGAACATTGCTCCAAGTGATCTACAGGTCCAATATATATCCTGATAAGATTGTTCCCACATGGTGTCCTCGAGTGACGTCTTCTGTCATTTAGTACAAAGCAGGTTTGCTCAGTTCATGATTCTCTTCCACCAACAATAACTGTGGCTATTATTCTTAATTTTAAGAACCAATCTTGCATCTAACATTTCATTCAGTTGCACATATGGCCACTAAAACTACTAGCAGCCCCAAGGCATCCCCTCCAAAACTAGCCACTTCGTCACTTTCTTTTAAACCCTGAAAAGTAGTGAAATCATACTAGTGTGACAGAAACCATAGGTGCATACCCAATCAATCATCAGTAAAATCTATGGCATCAAGAAGGAATGATTAACAGAACAAACGTAAGGAATCGGAGCTTACTCCCAAGGGACATCACCAACAAGCATCCGGTCACCTTCTTTATCCTCATAAGTAAGGACGTACTCAGATCCATGCAGCAAATCCTTCAGCTTGCTCTCACTCAGCATCTCCCTGCCTGGAGCTCCATGAGACCCATACTGACCTGATATCATACAAAAGAGCAGTAACAGTACCCATGCAAATATCTTTAATGTGCAAAAGACAAGGTCGATATCCATTACTCAATACTTGAGTCCATTTTTTACGATTGTTGTACCATTTGAAACTGTAAAATAGGTTACCTATGGTAAAGCAGCTAAACATCTTCTCAAGGGCAGAAGAGAGCTCCTGATATGCAGAGTAAGATGTCAAATCCACTTTCCTTAGATAAGGAGCACCAGCCATGCTGACCTTAATAAACATTGCACTGGGTCCTGCTTTTCCATCAACTTCCTCAGCATTCTTTGAAGAAGAAGCCAATGTGTTCTTCCTGAACGATCTAACAGGCGGCCAACCCACAACCTGTGCCCTGTCATGAATGAAAGATCAGAGAGCATCCTCAATATTTACTACTAATGTTCTCAACATACCCTCTTCTTAAATCATCTGCACTTACTTTGTAGCAGGTGCATTGCTGTTGTTATTTGCAGTGGCAACGCGATCTGCACCGATCTCACTACCAGTGCAAGGCTTCTCTTGAGCTGTGTTTTTGGAAATCACCTCTTTTGTTTTGGGTGGTTGGGTTCCAGTGTTTTCTTTCACAGAAACTGATTTCAAAACTGAGTTCAGGGAAGGCCTGGGTGACAGTATCACATTTACCTCCGAACTGACAAGAAATGTTCCCTGTAACAAATTAAGCAGTTCCAGAGTCAGATCTACAACAAGAAATTATCCAATTTCATCAGTAAGTGCTTTGTTTTCACCTCTGCGAAACCCTCCATAACATCTGAGAAACCCCTTTTGTTGCCAGAACCAACCGTCTTACGTGATAACAAATAATTACCATCCTTCGAAGGATGCAAAGGAAAAAGTGGCTTCTCATCGAGATTTGGCGAGCACAGCAAGGAAAACACTGAATCCCTCTCTGGAGACTGGGATCCAGGAAGCCCAAGCCTCAGTTCTGTGGCCTTCAAATTCAGACAGCCATTATTGCCTCCCGATGTGGTGGATATTGTAGAGCTATCTACGGAAGAACAATTAGACAACCCCATGTAGTTATGCTCTTTCAGTTCCAAGATGTTATGACATACATTACGGTCCAAGGAGGCTGGAGAAGCCAACAAAGTGATGTTACTCTGATCCGCTTCCTCCCCAACACCAAGCAGTGGTGGAGACATCACAATTTCTAACAAAACTCCAACTCCTTTGTCTTTTCTATATGCCCAAACCTGCTTATTTAAGGAAAATTGACTCAATTCTATCCTTTTAATCTGAAAATTCAAACAAAAGACCAACAAGATGAAAATAACAACATAAGAACCAAACTCCAAAAAGAGAAAGCAAACAAATTCGATAAACTGGCCACAATCTAAAACAGACCATCCCATAACAAATATCTGAATTACGATCTCAAGATTTTCCTATACAGTAATAAACATATCTAAACTTAATTATCTTCTAAAAGCCACCAATCCAAAATACAAACAGTACACAAACCCAAATTCATTACAATTGTAAAAGTAGCCTGTACAGTAACAAGCATTTGAAGTAGTTGAAATCTTCTAATCTAAAGACAGTACTATTAAGGGATAAAGTTAGAGTGAGTAAAAATTGACCCTTTCAAGTATCAAGGAACAATAAATTGCCAAAGATATAACCAACTTAAAAAAAAAAATCCAATTCACTGCAAGGAGCTCAAAATCAAACAACCAATTCTCGATGAACATCTATCTCACAGTTTGTGCACTCAATCGCAGACATATAGATAGGTACCAACCCATAAACATATTACTCAAATAGTCATAAATCTCAGGTAATTTATCAAGTAGAAGCGTTCATAGTCTAAAAGACCAAACATTTTCCAACCAAATAAAAACTCTTAAAGGAGATTTAGATCTCCAAAAATACTCAATACCTGAAGTAATTACAATGAATAACTATAATTGCATCAAAATAACGCGAAAAAAAAAACATAGAATGGAAGAAAAATAAGGAATCGAACTAAATTAGTCGAATTCAATGGGCTACTAAAAATTAACAGACAATGATTGTATTACAACTAACCTAAAGCACAGCGTGAAAAATAGAAGGCCTGAACACAGAAGAAATGTAGAAAGTGAAGCTCGGTGTAAGAGACTTGCCTGAAGTAGCTACTGGATCAGCTTTAGTGATAAAGTAAGAAAGACAAGAAAGATGATGATGACGACGACGACGGAGTAAGTGTTTGATTTGCCGTGAAGAATTCACAGAGAGAGAGAGAGAGAGAAGGCTAAGAACCCTCCAATTGGCAGTAAGTTACAAAAGCTTATTTGCCGTTCGTCGTCAAACTCAACGCCAGTAAAATAACCGCTTCAAACCTTCAACAAAAGCTTTGCAAGGCAAAAAGGAAGTGAGGGAAAAAGCAAAGGATAGAAATTATTTTTCCCCCTAGAAAAGGAAAAAAAAAAGGTGAGAAAAACCTTTTTTTTTCCCTGTCTTTTATTAGTTACTAAAAATAAGTAAATATTATTCAGCTTTTCAATTGAATTTGTGGTTTGTTGTGTCGAATACTCTAACTGCGAAGAGAGAATGTGGAGATGAGAATTGAACCTGTAGATTCTGAGCCTTCAATCTGCAGGTTAAGATTAAAGTCCGATGTCATATTTATTTGAATTCATGTCATTGTTCATCATACAAAATAAAATTTTCATGACATTAATTATTAAATAGTAATATGTATGATAACATGTGAAGATCCTATTATTGTCGATTTGGATGATTGTCATATATATGTCATCTTATTCTTATATGCGAAGAGTTATGTTCATGGCTTATTATTGATGTTGCCATTTATAAATTAAAAAAAATTTCGAAAGTAATGTGATTATTTTCCAAAAACTCCACAATACAAGGAAAGAAGGGGAGTTGGGCATTTATCCCATTTTGCTAAGTCAGACTATTTGAGGAAAAAAGGCAGCTCACAATTTCCTTTATGAACAAGCCAAACTCACATGTTGATATACCTCTTTATCGATATTCTAATGAAATAAAGGGCAGGCAAGTTGATGAGGCACCACAAGTTACCTCCAATCTTATTGAAATGTGTTTGGTTTTATATAGTAATATTTCAATGCTTTTATGAATGAGCAGAGCTTACATGCATGATAAAATGCCAGGCTCAAGTGTTTTCTAAAGATAGTCAGCTAACAACATTTCCAATCATGATTCAAATTTTTACTTAAATTTGAATTAACATTTGAATTTGATACAAATGACTCTAATAAATAAACTCGAGCATAAACTAAAATTTAAATGAAGATAAAATATGGTCATTGAATCTTTAAAAGATGATGAAATCTCATCATTAAAGATTAGGTGGAGCTATTCTCATCCCACAAATCTCCATTCTCACCCCCATTAAACTCTAAATCATAAAGAAAAAGTGATATTTGGACCTAATAATGTACTACCATTGAATTGGTTGTGGACTTCATCTAACATTGAAACTTACAACTAATTCAATGGTTACATTGAAGCCGTATCATTAGATCCCCAGATTAGGTCCCTAAATAAAGTTCATACAACATTGTTCAATCATAAAACTACTAAATACACCCTTTTATACCCACCTCGTTAGTAACTAAGTCAACCATGTTCTATACCCATCGCATTAATGACTAAACTCATCTCAATCTTCACATTTAGAGTTTCTTTCTATACTTCGTCTTACACAGTCTATACAAAAATATATTCAACTTGATTATCTATTATATGATTTATGTCTTTCCAAATTATTGGTTTATCTCTCATAGTTTATCTTACACATCATGGAATTCTAGTTATTGGCAATGAGAACCTATGCATCTAGTGATGAGCCTTCTATTAGACGTTGAAGCGGCTACCGTTGAAGAAGGATCTCATAGTAATGATATCCACCGATCTAATCTCCATATAATTAACGATTTTGATACCACAAGGTTTGCATACATATAGTGCTATATATATGTGTGTGTGTGCATATATATAAAAATATACAAATTTAATTTACTATTTCTATTTTTTAAGAGAAATGCACATAGAACGATTAGAGTGAAGGATTATCTGTTTTTTTTTTGTAACATTCAATATCAACTTGAATATCACTTGAGTGATCGGTACTAAATAATCAAGTTGATTGTACTTTTAGTATGAGATAAAGTATAAAAAGAAACCTTAAAAAAAGATTAAGATGAATTTAATAAATAGTAGGGTGAATATAGAATGTGGTGGATTTAGTTGCTAGTGGGGTGGGTATAAAAGGGTTGAACTTTATAGTTTTATGATTTAGAGTTTAATGGGGTGAAAACGAAAATTTGTGGGGTGGGAATAGCCTCACCCTTAAAGATTTGGATAAAGATTTAAATCTCCCATAATTTGAGTAAAAAATGATTCTCCCGTGATTTGATATGAATTTGGATATAGGGTTGGAGAAGATTTTTAAAATTTTTTACTCAATTTAAATTAATAGACAAGTTTGTGTGGTGTAATAAAGTTGGATTTGTTTTATCAAGTTATTGTTTGTAAATTTACGAAATCATATAATATTCAATCAATCAAATAGATGCACTTAAGATTTTTTTTTTGTAAGGAGAAGTTTGTTTCAATCTTAAATTTAAATTTTGTAGTAATAAAAATTATTTGTTGAAATATATGTAGCTAAATTCTCTCGATATTAATTATGAAAGGGGTGACTCCCTTTATTACACGTGTTATGACATTAAATGAGCTCACGTGAGGATGAAAAGACAAGGCACGTGAGGAAGACATGAGTCACTGAGTCAAATAGGCCTAGCCGAATTGGTCAATAAGCTCGGCAAGCAGAGAAAGCGCTCGGCTCTTATCAAATCGTGCTGTCCAAGGAGTCAGGGAGTAATGAAAGAGGTCGACGCTCGTCATGACTGAGTTGTTTCAAATAGTAGATAGAAAGATAAAGATTTGCCTATAACTTAGGCATCCAAGATAAGCTAATGAGCTTGATTCTAGGCCATGGGAACTGCCAGAGAGATTTCAACAGCTTCCCAAACTGAATCGTTAAATGGAAGGAAAGTGTGCTACCTTTAAACGAAAATCATGAAAATCCTAGCCAAATAGGGGTCTATAAAATGAACCAAGAGTCATGGTGAAAGGTACGCTGAACTCTCCTTGTCTTCTAGCAATTGTCTTTGTTCCATTATTGACTTAAATATCGGAGTGCCTTTGATCAAAGCACTTCGATCTTGGGCAGTTTGCTCGTTTTGCAAAGAGAGAAGATTGAGAGATCAAGTTCAGAAATATTCTTTACCAAAAATATCAAATCCAATTTTTAGTGAGAGGTATCATCATTTTTATCTTTTACAAATTAAATCACGATTGATAATCAAATTTAAAATAATAAAATCTCAATCCGTTGGTTAAATTTTGTATT